CAGCTATGATGAGGGGCTAACAAAATTCACTTGCTCGAAAAGCAAATCAAATTAAAATCAATTAAAATTAACAAGCGAAGCAGCCGGCAAAACCAGAGGCCATGCCACCCCACAGCTCTAGCAGCAGCGTCTTCGCTAACGTTAACGGCGACGCTGACGTCGACGCTAACGTTGACAGCGAAATGCCAAGCGCATGAATCATTCAATTCGCCGTGTTGCTCTTCATCTACCTTTGTTGCTGTTAATAAAGGTGCGGCAATATGTCTGTATGTATTTAAATACATACATGCAAGCAAACATACATACATACTTTCATATGCAAGTGAATCGAATTGCCGGCACAGCTGATAAGAGAGGTGTTAGGGCCTACGCTGGCGTCACAGTTATAAGAATGCGCCTACTCAGTCCGAATGAGCGAAAATATGAGAGAGAGAGAGAGCAAGAGAGAGAGGGAAAGAGTCATCAGCCAGGTGCTCATCGATATCAGTGTGTGCAAATATTTAGCTCTTTTTCTTTGCACCTTATCGGCACGTACAAACATACTTAAACACAGTTGTACCCCATGCATACACAAACCTACACACATATGCATCTAAGAGCCATTTGCCGCTCAATGTCTATATGTGTGTGTGTGAATTGAGTCAGCGCGCTGTGAACGACCCACTCATTAACAGCCGACTAAATCAAAAGCCGCCCACACAACAACATTCACACACCACAATAGCAAAGGTGAGATAAATGAGAAGAGAGCTGTGAATCAATTGAAATCACGTTGCACGCTACAACTGGCGCCATCTCTCGCCATTGAGATGGAATCTTAGCTCATGCGTAACGGCGTTGTCTAGCCAGAAATTAAGCAACACTCAGTTTATTGGCCCGTTTAGCACACTGGCCGCGTTTTATGCATTTCTTGCTCTCACTTGACAAATGCTACACAAAGTGCACGAAGCAGGCGGAAAAGGAGAGCAAAACAATAACAAGGCAGCAAGTCGAATGTAGTCTTAAATCACATTCACCTTCACACTCCCACATGCATATGTATGCACACACACACACACACACACACATGCATATGTATGTACATATGTACATACAAATGTATTTTCACGCAGAAGACAATTTTCAGTATTTACTGTCTCTCTGGCTGCATTTCAATTTTATTGGCACAAGGTTACAAGAAAAGAAAATGCAAAAAGAAAAAAAAAGAATTGATAGCCGCCCCACGTTGCATTCGATAAAGTTTTTGCGGTCGCCTTAGCCGCTTCTTCGTATTCCTCTTTATGTGACTTCAAGTGCAATGAAATTAAAACGAAATTCAATTTAAGGTTGGGTTTCATTTCACAGTTAGGCTCAGCGTGGGCTGTGAATGACTCAATGTGTGCGTTCTTAATATGGCGACGCAACAAAAGAACTCAAAAGCTCAAAGGGAGCGAAGAAGATGAACTCACACGTGCACAAAGCTCGACGCAGCCAAGTGGCTCCCAAACGTCATAAAGCAGCGACTAGAGAGAACAAGACGCGGCGAGCGAGCAGGCGGACGCATAGCGCTCAGCTGAGCGTATGACGCTTTTGAAGCGCGACTTACAAAGCGTTCGCGTAGGCATCACCAACTGTCGCTCACGTCATAGCGTGTGAGCGAGACAAATATATACTATGTATGTATGTTGTGTTTAACTGCATACAATCGCTGTGCTAGTGTTGGTGTTGAGGTATCTAGCGGCTGCAGCTTTAGAAATGTTTCTGTGGAAGCTGTTGCTTTTATGTGGGTGGCGCTTACAAGGCTGCTGCCGCTGCTGTTAGTGGCCCATTCACAATAGACATGTCGCAGTCGACGCCGTCGCAGCTGTTGATTTGTTTGCTTCGCTGTAACACAACAAAGGTTTTCTACAAATTCCATGCACAATACACAACCTAAGAGCTGTATAACTTACCGTCGTGCTGTGGCCACAGCAAAGCAACCTTGCGAAGGGCACACAGTTACACTTACTGTCTAAAAACATTTGCACACACATACCATCATATGTTTCAGCGTACATACATATGTATGTATGAATGTTAGATATTCATATGACAACTTGTGCGAGAAAGAAAGAAAGAAACCCTGACGCAGCAGCGGCAAACAATAAATATCTGAGGCAGTGACAGTAAGTAGCTTGGAGCCATAAACCACAACAACAACAACAATAATGAACTGTGTGCAGCAACTACTCAAAACTAACAACTAATTGCAAGTAAGTAAATAGCAGCGCACGTCTTGAGCAGCATAAATTCGCTTTGCAGCCAGACAATGCCAGGCGAAAACGGCGCCGACTAATAAATACGGCGAAAAGCTGAAAGCAGTTTGTTATTGTAGCAGTTGTTCAGCAACGTCAATGTACAAGCCGTTTACACATGCGTACGTAAATACATCTTAAATACATATACGGATTTACGTACCCATATTCGGTACACATACATATACACATCCGTATGTATTGGACATTTTGCTTTGGTACAAATGTTTAAAAAAAATAATATAAAAAGAAAACGGGCATCAAATTGGACAACAAACGAAACAGACAGAGGAAGAGAGAGAACGAGAGAGAGCGCTCAAAAGTGGGAGAGCGACAGTGGCGAGTGGGCGACTCAGTCGACGTCGCCGGCGGCACATAAAAATGTGTTGTTTAAATATTTCAGCCAAATTTTCGCCTTAAAATTATACATACATACATACAGATGTAATGAATATGTCGAAAGCACAGCTGAGAGCACGAAAAAGTACATAAATATATACTTATATGTATGTATATATAGACATATTTATGTATATATCTATATACATACGAACGTACTTTGTATATTTATTATATTTTTCGCAATACTTGATTTGATTTACGGCGAAAAGCAGATACAAAGCCAGTTGCGCTTGCGTGCATATACATA